TGGGATGGAGAGTGATGTGGGCTTGTATATGACAAGATTTCAAAGAGATGTGTTTTATGATTGAGGTCATCAGTAGTGGGCGTATACAACACACCAGGGCAGTACTGACGTCAACACAACAGTCTTGTTGTTATCCTGACCAACTTATAGTTATCTTCATCCTGCACAAGAGGCAGTGGGCGTAACAGGAAGGTCATGATCTGACTCAGACTCATTCTTCCTCTATTTGCTTTGAACATCAGACATTCTACATGCTGTAGCTGTACAGTGTTTCTAACTGCAGGAGCTATTAACGACCAAGGACTACAGCTTTGACAGCTACAGAAGATGTAATCCTATTGTTGATACGCCTGCCCTGTAAGGTAAGGAGGCAGAAGACAAACCCCTGACAAGGCTGAGCTGTTGAGTAACAGTTTGATCCTCCTTGGTGTGATCCCCCTTCGAGAGCTGCTGTTACACAGAGTGTTTTATGTTGTGTAACACAAACCTCCGTAATCTCATCAAATATTAATGATGCCTTTTGATAAGTCAGACAGCCAGGATTCAGTTCACAACACGAGGTGGCACGTTTAGTGTCCATTCCTTCATAAGAGAGAAGGAAATACCGGAAGCAGGGATTATAAACATGGAAATTAATTCAACATACAGAGTATTACAGGAGATGGCATGGGTGATGTATTGAAGTAGACATTATCAAAGATGACACAGTTTCCCAGGGTATGTTGTAACAGGAGATGCATGTTCAGTCCCACTTACCAGGGCTGACTTACAGGGAAGGGAAAGATTAGGAAGGTGGTGAATAATTCATCAAGAAGGAAATCTCTGTTGAGGTCTGAAGAAGGCTGTTGTGGCTGCGTGATGAAGTGGACTAGATATCATTGGTGACAGCTGAGAGGACGGTGGGGCGTCGGGAAGGCGACGTTTTCCTGTAACATTTAACAGCTTTGTAGCCGTGTTCAAGCATGAAAGGCCAACCATCATGACTGGAATTTGGGAAGAAAAGTCGTGTAGGTATTGAGGAGCATCAACTGAGACAGAAGGGATTGTTGAGGTAATGTCTGGTGGTGTTTAAACCTGTGATTGGCATTTCAGTACCATAGACAGTGGACCATCTGGAAGGTGAGATTTGCCAGTAATGTTTTTAACATCTCATCAGAGCAAGAAACGCAGTGTCTTGATTAGAATGCGGCTACAACCAGAAGCTGGAAGTTCAAGTACCAACCAGACAAGACGTGATTGTTGAACATCACCTGTGCATCCACCTGTGAAGGTAATATCTTAGTAGTATAGCCTGGGTACCGTTTCCATAGTTCTGCACACTCCCTCTTACTTGCTTCTTGTGTGGGCTGATGCTGATATGTGATATATATGGTTTTCTATCTCCTGATGTACATTTCAGCACCGAGGACAGTAGCCATAGATTTTTTTTCAATTCTTATTTTCCTTTTTGACTGTAAGCACAAAAAACACCCTCTGATGCACATTTCAGCACCAAGGACAGTAGCCATAGACATTTTTCAATTCTTGTTTTCCTTTCTTTGGTTGTAAGCACCAAAAAACACATTCTGATACACAATTCAGCACCGAGGACAGTAGCCATACATTTTTTTCAGTTCTTGTTTTCCTTTTTTTGGCTGTAAGCACCAAAAACACCTTCTGATACATATTTCAGCACCGAGGACAGTAGCCATAGATTTGTTTTCAGTTCTTCATTTTTCTTTTTTGGCTGTGGGCCGAGGTAGGTAGTGGAATGTGTGATACGTAATGCAGCAGGACATCTCTGACATTAAGAACTACTGTATTTGAAAAGTCTAGTACAGCTGTGGCATCTTGTGGCTGTTCAGCTCAGATAAGCTAAAGAAAATCGTTCTGCACTCTCCCTGCTGACGTACATCATAGTCAGTACAAATTTGGTGCATGAACACACACTTAGCAGGAGAAGGTTATAATGGTTAGGCCTTCTCTCCTGCTGATATTGGGTTGCTCCATGCTGAAAGGGTTTTTGATGAAAGGATTTAGTATTTCCACAGTGTACATGTCCTAGTCCGGAGGGCATGTTCAGACTATTGGTGCTGGAGACAGGAGCTATAGAGTTAGGCAGGTCTTGTGGATGTGTGTAGCAGATAGGGGGAGAAGATTGGGTTGATTACAGACATCACAAGACAAAAGGAAAACAGTTAGAGCTGAAGGGGTGTTCATGACTAGGACATTTCCTACGGGTTTAGTGTGTGATTTTTTCAGGTTAATGTACCCAGACATAAGGACTGGGATCAGTCCCTTAAAGAACAGATCCAGGGCTCCTTACGTCATACCACTGTTGCTGAGACATCCGGTGATGCGGTATCTTTAATTTAATGCTATGTTAGATGCCTTGGCCGTGCTTCTTAAAGACCTGATCCCTCCTTGCGTCATTGCTGAGACATCCTGTGACGTGGAGAGCATTTTAATGTCATGGTAGATGTCATGTTTCTGCATCTTAAAGATTCAGACATGCCCCTGATATGAAACATAGGGTGAATGATAGCCCTGAGAAATGGCGAGCATCTTAATGTCACGGTCTTGGCCGTGCAATGCTTCAAATGAGAACATTGTATGATAACATCTTCAGATGAAGTGCGATGTGAGCGATAGCCCTGACAAAATCAATAAGACTCACGGCCAGCATCTTAATGCCTTGTCTTTGCTGTGCATCTTAAGATGCAGAGAAGTCAACCCTGGTAATGCCTTGAGATGCCATGTGGTATGAGTGATAGCTCAGATCTGCTCAGGGATGGATTAGTGTACAGGTTTGACTCCCAGTTGGACTGGACGTGGAATGGTTGTACAATGACCTGGCAGAGAGGCCACTTTCCCTATTGTTGTTAAACTTTCTTTGGTAGCAGTCTAAATGAAGCCAGAGTTATCTAGTATAGTGTGGATAGGTAAGTTGTTCTATTTTTTTTCATTTCAGCATAAAGCATACTTTTACAATAGCAGAATGATGCAATGTTAACTTGATGAAATGGATTAAAGTTTCATTTTAGCAATTGATTTCTAGAAGTTCATTTTCCGTGGACTTGCCTAGATCCATGAACAGAGCAGTGTGAGTTTCGAGCTGCAAGTTATACATGGCACAAAGCCAAGGTTCTGTATAATAACTGTACTGTCCCATCACGTGGAGCGTGGTAATGAAGTTGTGGGGCTCCAGAGAAATTGTGCCATTTTTCAGGAATAGACAGGTTTTAATCAGGCTGCAGCAAGTCTATTTGATGGTTCACAGATTCAACTCGTATTTCAACTTTTAAGCTCTAAAATGTTAGTTAGAGATGTTTGGTTTCCCCTGTTGCTCACTGCAGCTGGTGAACCATAGGGTTGTTCTACTGATGAAGTCAGGGGAGTATCTAAAGCTTTGTTTGTGTGTGCGTGCATGCGTGCGTGCCTTTGTTTTGTGTGTATGTGTGTATGCATGCAGTATGTGTTAGGAGGTGGAATCTGCCATCTCTGATTGCCTTGTGAAGACTGGGTCCTGCATGATGTTAATCTGACTCACAACTTGATGTACATATATGCCAGCCCTATGATAATGGATGGCAGGAGGACCAGTAGAGGTCTGGAGGTAATCCTGTAGTTAATTGCATGAGTCGGTCTCAGCAGAAGATCAGCTGGGTCACTTGGTGGGGTATTTGTTTTAGTCTCAGCTGATGGTGGATTCCTATAACCTTTCTCTTTCTGAAGTAATATAAACAGGAAAGGAGGGCTTAGAATTTCCTACATGTAAATTAAATACCTGACTTAATATTCCTTGTTTTGTTTTATTACTTTGAGTTAAATATGTCATTATCTCCTGTCAGTCAGTCCAAAATAATTCCCAAATATAACAGTCATGTATAATAACTAGTATAGTATCAGAAAATAAAAATGTATAAAAGCTGGCCTTTAATGATGGACAGCCACTCCTTTGAGTATGGGTTGTCCTTTTCAGTCAGCCCATTATTATTGATACAGGTAGTGAATATTTGAAGTGATTTGAAGTTTATCATATTTCCAGCTCTCCTTCTTAGATTGTGTTGTCACTCCACCATGAATATTAACGTCAGGCTCAGTACCAAGGACACTGCCTCAGGGCAGGTACACTTATTTGTTCAACAGCATGAATAAAATATACAGCATGTAATGTGCACTACTGCATTATCATTCCTTACAATCTCTGCCTTTTCATTAACCTTCAGCCTGCTAAGGAAGCTATTTCAGTCCAAATTTGTAAACGTTATGAGGTTAGGCGTATGTGTATCACATCTAAAACAGGAAGTTCCCATGCCTTGCAGAATGTTGTGAGAGGTTGTGATGTTACTGATGGTTAAAGTGGCTTGTTCTATTGTAAATGTCTGTCTGATATTTCCCCAGAAGGAATCATCATTGCTTCATTGATATTCCAGTCCAGTAGAGACATGCTCCCAATACGTCCAGCACATCAGGTGATATTAAGGGACTAAACGTGGCTGATTGTGTCCTGAATGCCTGCAGTTGGTGATTCCCCAACAGAATGTTGTCCCAGGAGAAATTGTCGTTTTGTTCAGCCTTCCATATTATTTCAATGTGGCAGGCATCTTCAGCAAGGAAAATGCCCCAAATACCTTCTGCACTCGTAGATGACTTGTAATGTGTTCAAAGTGGCTTTATCATTATGCCCCATATATCTGCCATGTAGAATTTCTGAACAGTGTGTTGGATATAGATAATTTTAGGTGCTCTGCAAGCTTTGTGCATTGACAGCCTTCCATAAGTATTTGCAATGATTTTAACATTATGATAATAGTCCCAATCCCTTTCCTGACATGAGGTTGTTCTGCTGGGCTGCCAAAGTGGCTGATTGTGTGCCAGTTTGTGAATCCCCAATGGGGAAGGTCTCAGGAGAAATCATTATTTTCTTCCTCTGCACCCCATGAATTGGTTTAGTGGTTTGTGTGTCCACCTGAGGGCAGGTCTGTGTGATTATGTCACGGCCGGCAGCGGGACGGATTCCCGCTCGATGTTTGGTGGATTCTACAGTTGTTTGTTGTCGTGACGACGGTGTTACCGTGACGACTGTGGTGCTCCATCATGTGCGTGGCACGGCAGATTTATGAACCTGACATCAGCGATCGGAGCGATTGAAGCGTAGTGCGGGGGCATGTGGGCCCGGCTTGTGAGGAATAATGATGCGTGCATGTCGCAGGCTGTACTTGCCAGGATGAATATATGCATGGAGCGTTAGCTGGCCTGGTTTTAGATGTGAATTTAAATCAGTTGAATCCACAATACTGGAGATGCAGGGGGATTCTGCTCCGTACGACTAGCAGGACTGTTGGAGGGAAAACTGAGGGAAGGAGATCGGAATTCGTGCAGAGTTTTTCCCTACGGAAGGACGGATGGGGGAGGGGAGCAGCTCGTGGCATGAATTTCCTCCACAGAATGAAGGTTTTGCTGGTTCAGCGTGGGCCGTGCCTCTGTCACATCTGCAGGTTTCTATCTCCTCTTCTCCTCCTGATTTACTGTGATGTGCTCGGTGTGAGTCACCCGTGGAGATGGTAGTCTTCACGCTCTATTATACACACAAGCATGGCTTTCCCTGCCTGCTTATCGGAGCGAGGTAATGTTGTTAACGAACCGTCCTTTTTCCTGATTATAAATGCCAGCAGGACGACTCTACCATGATGCATTGCTGGGAGTATAACGTCAGGTCACCACGGTTAGCGTGGAGAGAGGTGTGAAGGTGTGAACGAGCCTGTTACAGGATCCATGTCGCTATCTCTGCCTATTTAGGCTAACTGGGTGCCATTAAGTAGGGAGGGAAGGTGTGGGAACTCCTCTGGGAGTTCCTTATGAAACCAGGGAGAGTTCCTAAATTGATTTCTCTTCATCTTAACCGAGTTATGCGGCATCCACTCATGTCTGGTCAAACCACATACATAATTCCTGTCTTATAGGGGTCCTCGCTAATCAGGACATATTGGAGCCATTGGGGGAATTGAGCTGGTACCATAAATCCCCGTAGCAACCAGGTAATCAGATGATGTCACCTAATTAATATTCATGAGTTCTAAACATGTTCTCATGTTACGAGTGGCTCCATGTTTGAGAGGTTCCTTTGATGTAGGAAGTATTGGATTGAATATGATGTATTCATCACTTCAAGTGTACGTTTTGAATCTGAGCCAACCAATAATAGAATATGGAAATGTTAGCTGTGGGCACAGACTGTATTACAGCTCTGTGCAATAACTATAAATCATCATGATAATATCTTCCTTCTAGTATATATTAGCATATCTCATCCAGTCAGAATTTGGGAGAAAAAATCTATAGCTGATAATTGTTATTGTTTTGAATGAGGACAGAGACATGCATACTAGACAAAGCCTGGAGTAGCTCTGATGCTTGCTGAGATATGATGTATGACTATTGGCAGTTTCTGGAACCTGACTTCAAATATTGACTTGGTAGGTAATTTTTCCAACTGATGCCTGATTAATAATAATGAGGAAAGCAGGAGGTGGAAGTAGAACCACCTGTCGGGTGGGAGGGGGGCACATGTGGTATGGAGACCTGATTGATTCAGTGTTGATGTCAACCTTGATGTAGTAAAATTATTTTAAGCCCATTTTATGGGGCTCAGTAGTATGAAAGAGGAAAGAATGATAGAAATAAAAGTATTTTAACAAGGTTTATGCCAATTTTACTGTCAGCAGCAATATAATTGCAAGGAGCTAGCATCATTAAATCAAATAGCTTTTATATTATCTAATCTTCGGTCATTGCAGGCAATATTATAGGTGAATTGTGGCAGCTGCAGTATTGCAGGTGACAAACACATTTCATGCTCTGAATCCTGCAGAATGAAAGTGCCCCTGTGTTGACCATGACTCATGTGGGTGAACAGTACCACCTGGAGAACAGCCGTTATTACTTCACCCCTGAGCTGGGGTTGTTGGTGGGAGTCACCAGTGTGCAGGCAGAAAATTGGGTCTGAGTCACAGCTCACAGTTTACTCTTCTGTGTGGCGTATTAGGCCATGCTAATTTATCTCCTTGGTTTTAAGACTCTCTAAAAGATGATTATAATAATTCAATGAAACTGTGTATCCCACTCAATAATCCTACAATTAAATTTTCAAATTTGTTTCATGTTTAGTCGTTGAGATATCTTCTAATTATATCCAGCAATTCCATACAAACCACAGAAAAATTCAGTCAGTGTGGATAATATGTAGGGTCAGTATTGTTGGTTTTGACTCACAGCTCAAAGGTCACATTTTCTGTTACCTTAGGCTGTTGTGTCATATAAAGGCATATGATGGGGGTTTAAACAGAAGTCATAATTGATAACAGGCTATCAAAATTCCCCACACAGCCCTCAGCCCTCACATGCAGGGCAGCCCTTCCTAGCTGGCTGATAACTATCAAGTGCTGAGTGGTGCAGACTGGGCTAGAACAAAACAGTTACTTGATACTTGTCCAACATTGCTGCAGAAAAAAGGAATCGAAAGCTGGTTTGAACAATGTTATTGTCCTCAGACAGGCAGACAAACAGACTGTATGTGATGTCCAACTTAGTGCTGCTTCAATTATGAATGGTTTTGCAATAATGAAATTGCAAAATTTATTCATTAAAACAGCAAGCTCCCTTGACATAACTTGGATTGGCCCTGTTGCTATTCAGCATACCAGGCACACATAGGGATGCTGACACATGAAAGTGCCCCCTTCCACTTCATCACCATGGTAACCAGTCAGTACCCACAGGCTCCTTTTGCTCAGTCCAACCCCTGGACATGCAGGACATGTAGGACCTTCTCACTGCTGTAATCCTGACAGACTTGGACAGGGCTGGATACAGGATCTCCTTTGGTGTGGTGAGAGTGACACTTCCCTATGGTTTTCCTAAGTCTTAGGGAATGTTAGGACTTCTACAGAATTTATAGGTCAACCCACTTCAGTTTCTTGTAAAACATACATTTACATGTATGTATATTCATGATATTGTATGGTATGATACTTTGTTTCAGCAACTACTAGTCGGTCACTTCCCAAACGTATTGAATATAGAAATCTGAAAACTAACCTGGAATTTCTAGGTTAAGCCAATTAAGCCAGTTCATATTATTTACCTCTGTCAGCAAAGGAGGTTATTTAGTTTTCAAAATCAAAGTGTAAATGCTGGTAGATGTGTTTTTTGTTACTGAATAATTCCTTGCTTTGGGACTACAACCCTCAAGAATGTGTATAGGTACAATCCAGTTGCCATCCCTGTAAATTATACAGTATCAGTTTCAGTGTGGGATTGTTAGGCAGTGAGTGTATCAGGCACAGGTTAGGGTTCAACACCTTCACTCTCAGCCATGATGACTTCCACTCTTCTCAAGTCAGCCTCCAGGAATTCCAAGGTCAACCAAGTTCAAGTCCCTGCAAATTAAGGACTTACCGTGCAACTGATGCCTGCCTTATGGAAAGGATTGAATCAGACTTAAATGTTCCCTAAATCTTAATCCCAAGCTTTCTGAGAATCTGTGAGGAGATCACATGCTGGTGTTTTGACTTGTGGTTGGCAGGAGGGGGAGTATTATCAGCTGATCAGGCTGCACCAAATCATTTCCTTGTTTCTGGGGCAAAAATGTCAGCAAGAGGTCAGAGCGAAAAATTGACTATTCCCTCTCCCTGAAACTGTGTGTACCAAGTGAATCTGTTTTCAGGTTTAGCTTAACTATTATAGCTGTTTTACAATGTTGCTTTAAAATCTGAGGACCGACATATTCCCTTGGTGTGGCCTAGCTAAAGCAGCTTTCTTCTCTAATGTCTGTATTGGAGCCTGCCATTCGTGTGGCCCCTGCCCCAGTACCATCCTGTACCTCCACTCAGGAACTCACAGGGAAAATAACAACCTGCTTAGGTTTCAGTCTGTCAGCAAATAAAGCTTTGAAGGTAAGACTGGTAATGGGTCTGTTACTGATGGTCGGAAATATGTCTTTATTTTCTGTATTTACAGGTGAAACGGAGACATGTAGCTTGGAATTGTCTTGAGTATGTTATTATTTCAGCACTGTATTTTCACTGTAACTTCATAAAATTCGAAAATCATATCTGCCTTTGTTAATGTCAATCAGCCAAAATTAAAGTGCTTTCGAAGGTAATGTGAAAGTTCTTTATATTCCTGTCAAACATTTGGAAATATTTCTCTTCCCCTCGTGTTGCAGCTGTACTAATTGAAGACAATTAGGCAGAAACTGTTCCAATGTGTAGACTTATTGCAGCAGAATGTTTATATTTTGCTTAAAGGTTGCCAGTGACAGGAAACTTGGCAGAGGACATTTCTGAGATGTTTTGCTCCCGACTCCAGGAAGTCTAAATTTGGGCTGACATTTCCAACGGATTATAACGGAACGGAACTGGGGCTGCCCAGATTCCCGCTGGTTTCTGTGGGTTTCAGCTGAACTTCAGATCCAGTCTTGCTGTGCTGTATTGTTGTTGCTGTTGTCATATTCCTTGATGAAGAAAATGCTTGTTTGTATGTGGAAATGGAGGCCAGATGGAGTAGTGAGGAGGTAAGGAGTGGATAAGATGAAGTGATAGACTGTGAGACAAGGCAAGAGACAGGGTGGATATCACTGTGATTAGATAGGGATGGGCATCTTACAGTCTGATCCAATTGCCATGGAAACTTGGAAGATCATAGGGCCACTCCAATTTTTCTTTGGTTCTCGGATATTTTAAATGTTCGTCCAACAGGATGAAGATATCTGAGTAAAAACAGAAATTGAACCTGACAAATTTTCCATCCCCACTGTATGTGCCGGGATATAGGCTTTCTTGTCAGAGTCAGCAGGCTCGAGTCAGACTCTGTTTTTGATCCAAGCAAATATGTAATTGGTGCGGCCTAAACTACATGATTGTGCTTTCTCTGTCTAACTAGCTCCACTAGCAAATTATTTACCTTATTTGGGCAAATTGAAGGTTCTAGCAATTTTTAAGCCTTTAAGAAGGGTCTTGTTGCAACTAATTATACCCGATTCCCCAGTCCCATGTCTCTTGGTTAGGCTGTTCTAATTACAATGTACTGCAGGTCGAAACTAAGTGAATGTTTTTAATTAGTTTTAGATACCGGTAGTACCAAAAATGATATTTTAACTCATTTGGGAAACTATTCACTACTTGTATATTTGGTCTAATTTGCTAATACACATGTACGTGCACTCAGTGTTTAGCCCAGAGAGGATATATGTTTGTCATTAGGATTTTAGTTGGATGTTTAGTCCAACTAAACAAAACTCCCACATGTGTGGCCAACTCCTATGTTGAATTCCTCACTTTATTTGGGCCAATTTCTCCTGTTCCTTCGGCCCTGTTTAGAACACAGAGCAGGTCCCACATGTATTTGTGAGGTTGTTGTATCACGTCATGACTGGGTAGAGGTTTGTTGTACCATCTGCCGCCTGGATGGGTTTGGAATTATTCATCAGGAGAGTTTT